TATAATATAATTTAATTAATTTAATTAATAATTTTTATCCATATAATTTTTAATTTAACTTAATTAAAAGATAGCTTACTCAAGATAGCTTACTCTTGGATTTTGTATGCTCCTATATTTTTCGAATAATTTGGCGCAATAAAAATTATGAGATTTGCATTAAAATATAAGTTTCTGTAACTTAAATATTCTCCGATACCTAAATTTGATCACAATTCTCATTTTGTTATATTGCAGACCGATCCTCTATCGCTACATCTTTTCTTGTTGGAGCCGAAGAGATGGCGACCCTTAAGAATAAAACTGTCGCCTGTTTTTACATCTGGCAAATTAAAGGAGATGTTCTTTTTAATATCCGAATGCGCTGATCATCTTATACAATATACGGAAAAAGTCGCAAGTAAAAATGGACTCATTGAATGTCGTGAGTTAATGGCCAAATATACGACTGATGTTATCGGTAGCTGTGCCTTCGGTATCGAGATGAATTCAATGTCGGATAAAGATGGTGAATTTCGTAAGATGGGTAAAAAATTTTTTGAACCTACCTGGTCAAATGTCATACGAGAAAGAATGAGGGAAATAGTACCAGGACTGTATCACTTACTTGGTTACATTCTGCCACAATCAGAAAGCACCAAATTCTTTACACGTGTTATCATGGAGAGCATGGAATACAGAGATATGAATAACATTACCAGGCACGATTTCATTGATACGTTGCGTGAATTAAAGAAAAATTCAGATCAATTGGATGATATCGGTAAGTATTAGTACCTATATATTGTTTCTTCCTGGTATGGAACAATTTTCTAAATGACGAAATCATGCAAATAGTAATCAACTTTCGTTTTCATTAATATATTATGACTGTATCCCATATAATACAGATCTCCAAGGGATGTCCTAGAAATGTCCAAAGAATATCCTATGGATAAAAAACACCTTAACTTCCGAGACATCCCTTGAATAAAATGTGCTGTATAAGATTTTAACTACACAATAGTTCGAATATAATTAAGAAACCGTAAAATAAACGATACATAGGTGGCAATAAATGCTATATTCATGAATTTATTTAATAAATTTAAAAATTAAAAGATTAATAGCCGTTAAAAAATAATATCTTGATTTATCTATTTCCTTGTTTGTAATATTTTGGTTTATGTAATGTATATTTTTTGTATTAATATTTCTATATAATATATATAAATATATATATATATATATATATATAATATATAT